TCGCATAAGCTGACAGCCAATCAGATTGCAAGGAGCACCAGCGATTTCAGAGTGAACGAGGAATGCAAATGCACTTCGTCGGGAGTAAGCAGAATTTGTATTTTTGTATCATCCTACATTTATGATTTGCTGATATAAAAGCACGAAGAACTGGAAATCCCTGCTGAACTCTTATTCAGTTCAAACTGAATTAAACAAACTGCAGTAGCTGCAAGGAGTTTTAAAAGGATGATTTAATAAAGTCGTAAATAAATATATTGAAATGAGATTTCAATTTAAGGCTTACCTGACAATCACATGCAAATGACAAAATGAGTTTGGTTGTTTGATTCATAAAACGTGTCTATTCGCTTCTTGTCACTGGTTAGCCTCGCGTTTCTGTTGATTTGCTCTATTTTTTTTCTTTGGCGCCAGCTCGCTTAATAACTTTTTTTGAATCTTAACACGAAAGTAGCAAAACGTTTTTTTTGCTACTTTTTTTTGCTAAGTCATTAAAGACATGCATGGTTAGCAGTAAGTTTGACGTACCCATCGATAATTTTAGTCAATCAACTATTTTTGAAAAAAAGCTCGGTCATAGTTATTCATTCACAATCATGAACTATATTCTGGGACGCCCGTGCTTCATTGCTAGGAAAGTATAGAACTAAGCAGCAGAACTATTTAAGTCAGATACTGGTTTGATTCTTGATGTGTGTTTGTCCCACGCTTTGCGTCGGTTTCGTGTAGAGAAGATAGCTGGTCATTGCAACGCTGGCTTGCTTGAGCCAGCAATGGTTTGCTTTTGTTTTTGACTTTTTTATTGTAACATTTTTCTCACTATTTAATTTAGTGTTTTTAAGGTTTAAACAGTTTTTATTTTTAAGTTTTCCTTTTCATTATCTGTGTGCACTGGGTAATAGGCGAATCCTTGCTGACGTCATTGCTTACTGTTTTGCTCATTCGCATACGCGTTTAATAACAGTCCGGAATACTAATATCCCTAAAATTTAAGGACAGTTGGGTAGTTGCGACGTCATGGAGCTATTGTTGTCGGGGAAACTGGCGGATAGATTACCTAAACGACCACAGTCACCGTTTCGAGGCTCTCAGGCATATTTTAAGACTTTTCATGAGGCATCCACAATATTTTTAAGTGGACAGCGTATCGGAAGCAATATTGGAAGTGTCGCGTGAATTATTCATCACAGGCCTATGTCTTCTTTTAAACAACGCGATGTAGGCGAAATTTTGGTCGCTTTTCAAGGTAGGTGAAGAAGTATCTATTATTTTTCGATTCACAGATTTTTTATGAAGTTTTCGATTAACTTTTATCATGTTGAACGTGGGGATGGTAGACAACCTAGCTAGAATTTTGGTAGACAAGTTTTGAATTCCGAGGTCCAAAACACGTACGTGTTCCACTCCCGGGTTTCACCTAGACATGGCAGAGCCGTGGTATTACTTTTTTTTCGCATTAATACGAACCTTTGCCTTTTTTCTTTTTAAGGCCAAAACAACTTCATTATAGTCTTATGGATATTCACGTCTAACATCTCGCCTCACTTTGCCGAATTTGCGGGGATAAAATTAAAGATCTTAAGTGCAAGGTAGATACTATAAACAGCTTGTTTCTGAAATTCACCAAATCTGGAAAGATTTTCTATTGTTGGATTCTCCAAATGTTCATTCACCGTCAAAAAAATTCAAAGAATGAAAGAAGGCAAATTTTAACTGTAAATGACGTATTTCGCTACTCATTGAACATGCACTGATTATCTGGGATAAAATTAAAACATTACAAGTGATCCACGGTCTTAGTACATTCTAAAAATTGAAAAAAAAAATGATAATATACTATAATTCATCGGATGAAAACTGAAAAGCAAAGTCTTTATAGTTAAAGGATTTTACACGAGACGACTGGCTGACAGACGACGACTGGAGATATCCGGAGTTTGAGCACAGGTAGCCCAAGCTCGAAATAAAAGCATTGGCGAACATCGGCATTGTTGCGTAAAATTCGAAATATAAGGATTCGTATGGGAAAAAAACAATCGTTTCCGTAACCTACGAAAATGAAAGGATTTCAAGAAAGAAAAACAGCTTACCTTACATAAAATGTGCTTTACGTCTCTCCTGCGTGGTCCATGGGCCGATTTCAGGCCATTTTATGGGTTGTATGGTATGGGTTTTCTCTCTCAAAAAAAGGCCATAAATCGGCCCATAGAACACAGGACAGACGTAACACACATTTTATGTAAGGCAAGCTGTTTACAAATGAAATTACTTTTTGTGTTACGTACTTTATTTAGCTGACATGTTCATAAATAAGCTTTAAACTAAATTTAATAGTTTTTTACAGAATGGGTTCAAATAAAAATGGAACTCATAACTCCCGGTTGAAGAAATTTCCCCACATAAGCTAAACAAATGCATTCGAAAGTTTTATTTGTCGGCAAGAAAACTCGACGGCCGTTAGGTCATTTGTGCGCTAAAATTGAAATCGTTGACAGCAGTAAATGAGTTAAAAACCATCATTTTGTGCTCAATTATCTCACTGTTTTAGTATATACTAGAACAATTATTCACCTCAGTGGAGGTAAATCCACCACTAGCCACCTCCATTGTTGTAGTAATTTCGTAATGCCCTTCGCAAGCGTGATGTTTCTGAAAATAAGCTCTGCTATTATTATCATTGTTATTATTATTAACTTATACAACTGCTACAATTACTAGTATTACATGATTATCATATTCGTGTAATTTTCACAGAATGTCCAGTTGTTGTCGACCGAAAAACACTGAATTATTCATGACAATTTAATGCGGTAAACGAAACATTATGCCACTTAAGTGACTACAAATTTCTTGATAAAGGGCCATTTAGCTTAGAAGCAGTTGTTTGAAAGTTGACAAAAAAAGGCCTTCTTCAATTAGAATTTAGACCTCACTCTGGCTAGCACAAGCTACTCCCATGCCTATAAAACACATAATTCCTAACATGAAACCAAACAAGATATAATACCAATTAGTAACCCAGAAGGCAAATAGATACAGCGTTTTGTTGCAGAAATCTGGGCTACTGGGGTCGGTATAGTTAGGCTCGTAGTTACTGTATATCCACACATTTCCAGCAATGAACCAAGCGAACAGAAGGAGTTGGATGAGACCGCTGAACGGGTTCACGGTTTGCTGGTCATCTTCCTGACTACTAGTGAATGCGGCAAAAAACAAAAGGCTACTGAACAGACCAGCTACTCCGGCCACTATTAAGTAAATTGGGATCATGTTTTCCACAGGACAGTCATCCCTGTATTTTGTACCTAAGACAAAGGAAAAAATGTTCTTTATTTGATTGTCAACGTATTTAGCACGAAAGTACTATTTGAGGAAACCATTCTTACATCTTGTACAAGAGATCGGACCGGCATCTTACGTGGCCATTGGATCTCCCGTGTAACAGAAATCGAATTCCGGAATCCGCGAAATTTTTGCTTGTGGAATCCTGAATCCTAAGCTTTGAAATCGGAAGTACAGCTCAAGGAATCCAGAATCCCACTAATGTTTGGAATCCAAAATTCAAGTTCCACTGAAAAAGGCTAGAATCCAGTACATGCAGTCCCGAATCCACGGCGTGGAATCCAGAATCCAGACTCCATAAATGGAAAAGATTCCCTCAGTTACATGGGGCGAGTTCGAGCCACACGAGTATTTGAAAGACCAAGGCTGTACCTTTATATCTCAGTTCTTTTAACATTGTCATCTCTGTTATTACTCAGTAGGAAATGATTGTCAAGGTCATGAGTGTAATGATTGAGGTTTTGACAACCAATGCGGTAGTCAACATCATAGCCAGTAGAAATTAAAGAATTTGATTGAGAGAATAATAGACAATGATATTGGACTATTCTAAGATGGGACTATTACAAATTAATTTACTGGAAAAACTTACCCATTACTATCATGGCTATCTGAAGAGGAAACGTTATGAGGCATAAAAACACAATGGCAGTTATCACTGTAAAAGAAAACAAAGCAATTCATCAACGTAAAACTAAAAGACTGTGGCTGTAGGATTCATTATATCGTTTTTCTGAATTTACCGATAAGATACATGACACATTAAACAACACCTTAAAACATGCTTTAAAGAACCCTACCAAAAAGATGGAAGAGAGGAAAAGTCATTTTCGGCTCAGGAAAGACTAGGAATAAAATCTTATAATATTCAAAGGGTGAAGTAAAACAAATTATTTAAAACTCACGTGTCCCCAAAAGAACCATCCAAGAAACCCCCATATCTGCTGATTAGTTTGATTTGCATACAGTATACTGCGGCAAGCCAACGAGAATCAGGTTAACAACCTGCAAAAGAAATGATGTAAATGATTATTAAAACCGCCAAAACGGATTGGTGATTTTGCATTTTCTGTAAGGAATGATCGCGTGAAGGTCAACTGATTTATTCTCTCCTGCAGGAAAAATTGTCAATAAGGGAAGAACCTTGTATATGAGCCACCTCGTCACGAATCCTTCGTAGCTCAGTGGTTAGAGCATCCGATCTGTGCATAGAAGGTCATGAGCACAGGTTCAATTCCTGTCAGGCACTTAGATTTTTTTTTTGTCCCGTGTTTGTGACATGCTGAACACATCATTTCTCTACAGAAATAATTTGGTAAAACTTCACTAACTAGAAAGCCGAACTCTTTTTCAAAGTGAACATATTTAATGACAGCAGCAGCAAATCGATAAAAGGAAAAGTTTACTTGCAAATAGGAGTTTTTATATCCGTGGAGGCCTGGGACTTTGGTTATGCAATGTGGAAGGCGCATGCGCAACCCGCTAAGCAGATGCGAAGAGGTACCAGAACTCTGTTCCACGTTTCACTAGGCTTTATTCGTCGCTGCCATTACGACTTATTTTCCTTGAAAAAACACTACTTTTACTCTCAAGCAATATCTCACGACACATGATAGATAGAAATTTTCTAAGTTAGTTAAAGGGGCTGTGTCACGGCTGTCCAGTTCATTTTGTTGTATTAGTTGCCAATCACTCGCCCTCAATCGCTATGGAACTTAAAGTAATCAAAGAAATTACATGTAAATGACAAATCAGAGATCCGAGACAAATAAATATGTCTCCCGAGCATTATTTTTGAAGTTGCAAGCAGCAGGGATCGCCTTTGAAAAACTGTTAGGCTGAACAGTTTTCACTCACCCTAATTTCAGTCCGTTTCAATCTTCTTCTTCTTCCCATGGCATCTGTTATTTCTGTTATGTTATTTTAACCTTCCTTTAAAGTTTTAAGCGGCTATTTTTGTGTTTCTCTTAATTTAACAGGCATTTTGTAATTTCCTAATTTGGCTGAATTTTATTTCTTGACACAGCTCCTTTAAGATGTTTACGGAAGATTAGCGTAGGTGAGGTGCAAGAGGGAAACTTGGACCCCAATTGCGGCTCAACTCTGAAATCTTTCTAGCAACAAAGCATGCTTTTCTGCACGTATAATTTGGTCACTTATACGTGCAACTTGTTCTCGTCACAACAAACAGTAATTTTCCAAGTAAGTGGCGCAAGTTTTAATATTCGAAGTAATTCGTGTGGATCCGCGCGAATGCCTTTTCAAGCGACAAACTAAATTCATCAAGGCTAATACAACATTATTTTCATACTTTTAGACATCTTTAGAAGACGTTAATCACAAATTATAGGCAAGTGACTCGGTTTTAGCTAGCGGCCGTGGTTTGTACCTACGCCTTGGAATTTAAGAGCCCGTGATGCTTTTCTTTCTTTTGTCCAGCCTGATGCTTACCAATATAAGTTGTTATGAACAGTTGAGCCTGCCCTTGAAAGACTTGAAAAAGTCCTAAAATTGCTGAATTACGTTCTTATCGAAGTCTGTTGTTACTAAAGAAACAAATCGAACCACACTGTTCACTTTAAACAACATGACAGGAGGGGCACCCAACGACCTAATAATTCCAAAGACGCCAGAAGTGTCTCAAATGGTTTTCTCTGTGCTTTAGAAGCCTGTTTGGTTGATTTGGAGTTGCCCTAAAAACTATTTGTCTGTTCGGATGTCTTAGGGGAACTTTGGTCGTCACGAAAGTTTTACGTGGCTTTTCCGTCTAGTCCGTGAAAGTGTTAGCTACACTTATGGGTCCGGTTGAAAGTACGAAGACATGAAGTAGCCTTGCTTTCATTAAGAAAATTTTAAAATGTTGTGAATTGTTGCGACTCCCATGAAGACATTGTTTTAAAAGACTACACAACATAAAATCGCATTATTTTATTGATGGCTTGGTTATGACAACGTTATCCAATTTTCATATCAAAGTCCATTTTCCAGTGACGGCTGTTACTGACGAAACAAATTGAGGAATGTAATACACAGTTCACTGCCTTCAACGCGAAGACGATATTTGTTGCTCATAATTACTTACACTTCTAAAACGTAAGAATTCTGTTCACACGCTGTGTATGTTAGTGCTCTGACCATTTAACCACCAACGAGAGAATTTGTAATGAATGTATCAGTTCTTGCTGATCTGACTTTCTTTCTTACGCAGGTGAAGCGATTTTTTTCATGGCCTTACCGAGGAAGACACTTTGCAGTTATAGCAACTGCTAACGCGTACACTTAAAAGGGAAACATAGTAAAATCAGCTTCATGGTAAATGATCGATCAACTAACTCTACAGTTATACTCTTTACATCCCAAGAGACACAACTCACTCTGACTAAGATCAGTGACAATTTCCAGGGACTCGCTTTTTTTGGCTTGGCGTGTCAGCTTTCGCCGCTTTATACGCGTTTTTTATACTCTCAACACGAAAGTTAAACCAGTCCAAAGCTTTTAACCCGCCATGCTGTGACGTCACGCTATTGTCAAAGTACGGTCAAATATACAAAATTACAGCTGCTGAAACGTTGACGTATTTAACGTTATTCTTCTGATTTAACAATCGTTTCGCACGTGTGCTCTATCTAGCTGGCGATCTTTTTACCTTCATAAGTTGTATTTGAGACACTGGCATACTAGGTGCCTTTCTCAACCTTCGACTGCTTGCCAATGTCAAATTTCGTGCATACAGTTAAAGCTTAAACAAACTATACTGAACTTTTCATTTTTTTTTTGGCGATTTTGACTGTATCAATTAGTCATTTTAAAAATATCTTTATTATGAAAAGTAATCTTAGTCATGGACATATATAATCTCAGCACATATTTAGACTGGACGTACTTGTTTCCGTCACAAAAATTCAACAGTGATTTTCCAAGCTAGTGGGTAGCGGAAGGTTTGCTGATCGGACTAATGCGTGTGCATCCGCACGGATGCCTAATGAAGGCAAAATTGTACAATAAGTGCATATCATCGCAAGACGAATAAAACATTTGATTTTTTAAGTTCATCGTTAGAAGAAGAAACTTGAAGTTTGTTTTCGCATTCGGGACAGGTTCAAGGGGCTGTGTTCTATACCTACACCTTGAATTTGAGATCCAGTATACTTTTCTGTATTTTTTTTTTCAACCTCTGCTTGCCGATATTAATTGCTGTGAACAGTTGAAGCTACCATGAGAAAGAAACCGTTTAAAAAGTTGAAAAGGTCCTTCAGTTTACAGGCGAGGACTGTCACTAAAGAAAGAAGTCGAAACAGACACTACTTACCCTGTCTCAGAAATCGGTCACAATTTCCTTGGACTCGCCCTGTTATTTGACACTGGCTTGTTTGCTTTCGACGTGTTATACTCGTTTGTTTGCTCTCAACACGGAAGTTGACAAACAAGGTAACCAGTTATGCATGCAAGACATATGCGATCAAATATTAAACAATTAATGGATGAGGCTTTTTGTGATATCCGGAATAATCAAGGTCGGGGTAAGTAAGGGTATCAGTCGAGCCGAAGGCCACTGTTAATAACAGTACCGAGAAGAATATAAGGAAAAACACAGAATCGCATGCAACACAGTTTGACATTGCTCTTCGGGAAATCATGCATTGTGTGCACAACCTTCAAATAAGTCACCAATCTGCTAGCCCATAACTGTCGGCTAATCTGTAGGTTGCGCTGATTTCCAAAATTAACTGTAGACTTAGCCATAAGCTAAATGAGTTCGAGTCACGACTTTACCACTCGTTTCGCCAACTATTGTGCATGCGCATGACCAGTCTGACAAAACCGAATGTTGCAAAATAGTTTCATTTGTATCCTTCTAATTCAGCGATGGGTCTTCAGTGTATAGTTTGTAAACTATAATTCAATTGTATCAAAATGTTTATTGTATTGTCAAGTTTTTCTATCTAAATTTTTACAATTTTTTTTAAACAATTTTACCTTTATTACAAAAAATTCATCGGGTCCAGCCCCATACCATAACATTGTAGCCTAAGCTAAGCTGTCATAAGTTTTTTATTGCAATCTGAAACGTAAAGATGCGTGTCATGAACCACACAGGAGGACGCACAGCGTAGATGAGGTGGCCAAGTGAGTTAGAGTTGCCCTCTTGAGACAACATGCTATGTTGAGCGACAGCGAGATTGTGGCTTTTTGCATTCTTCGCAAACGAATCAAAATTATTGCTAGTATCATTATTATTATCGTGGTGAAGTTTTGATAGAAAGTCGAGCTCTCATCCACCAACCAGAGATATACGATTTTCTCTAGTTAGTACATATGGCTAAATACTAGTTGTCATAAAGTTAAAAAAAAAATAAAAACATGGAAAGATCTATTGGTTTGTATTTTACGCCAGACTCTGGCTACAAGCTGCTACCGTCAAACCCATACAACATGTACATGTACAACATTTCACGATTCCAAGTACGACGCCAAACAAGATATAATACGAATTAGTAACCCAGAATGCAAATAGATACAGCGTTTTGTTGCAGAAATCTGGGCTGCTGGGGTCAGTGTAGTTAGGCTCGTAGATACTATAAATCCACACATTTCCAGCAATGAACCAAGCAAACTGGAAGAGTTGGATGAGACCGCTGAGCGGATTCAGGGTCTGCTTGTCATCTCCACTTTGGTATATCAAAGCGCTTGAGCAGCAAGTATTGAAGAGTCCAGCCGATGCAGCCACTATTAAGTAAATTGGGATCATGTCTTCCACAGGGCACTCATCTTTGTATTTTGCACCTAAAAAGAAAGAACACGATCGTTTGGCGAATTTCAAAGGGATTTTGTTGCTGTCTTATCAAAGTATGAACTTCAATGTAAGAACATTTCTTTTCGTCTTTCATTCGGATACAAAATGTTTAACTTTCCCTAAGACGAGACACATACTAAGGCGCTTGGGAAAGAAACAAAAAAAAAGTAACGGTTGCGTGGCATTTTTCTTCCTTTCTTCCCTTGATGCACTTGGACTCACTAAATCCTTCCCGAATACAGGGAAGCGACTGGAGACTTGATACGAATCCGTTCAAATGACTTCTTCTTCATCTTAATCCACATAAAATCTAACTATAGTAAACTACTGCTGTAACTAAACTCAGTGTTGGAATATGCTCGTCTGGTCCGGTTTAAACGGGAACAGTGTTCAAACTATGAATAGCGCTATCCGCGGATAAATCTCTATCATGCTTCAGCGGAGAAGTGTTGGGAAAACCAACTGCGCTGTCCACGGGATAGAAAGTTATCCCGTGAATAACATTATCCACCTTGAGAATCTAGGGAGACTATGGTAGCATGGTGCAAATAGCCGGGACGCGAGCTACTTTGTCCACACGAACCAAGAGGATTTGGTCTGCTAATCAGGTGTAGCTCTCTGTGATAAGTAATATTCCAACAGTATAGGATCATAGTTTGAAGCCATTTCACAATCACTAGTTTCCGCGCACCTCTACCGGCGAGTTGTGGACAAAAGCAGCTGATAGCTGTATGCGAACCTTTTTTCCACAAAATGGTTTCTGGGTTTTCGTATTCGACAGTGTCATGTATTGATTCTTTTAAAATCTTAATGGAGGTCTTTTTATTATGTTCTGTCTGTCTGACTGACTGTGTCTTTGTATTTTTTTTCTTGTAATAACAGGTTTCATAATTTGGTCGTGGTTGGGGTTATGGGCTCCTGGTCGTGAGCAAATCGCGAAAAAATCAACAAGCAAAACCAAATTTAATTATAGCGTTGAGTCCGTTGGCCACGGAGAATTGGTATTATTCTGCAAGTTCTTTACTGCAGCAAGAGAGTATTCTCCGATCCCTTGACCATCGCGATTGTTAGTTGGGACATTGGGCCGGGGGAACTTAGTATTTTGACCCGGCATAGGGGAGGGGGGGTTGGGGAAGGGGTACTCTGGCCAGATTCCAAGTCACGGGGATGATGGAAGTATGTTTTTTTCTTGGTTTGACAATTTTTTGAACAAAGCTTTTTTTCTTAGCTGTGGCTTTACTTAAGTGTTCAAAATATTCGTTCTTTCAATGTCTTAATTTTCGCTTCCACGGATCATCCCCGTCACTTGGAATCCGAGGTACCCCTCCTGTTTAGTACTTCGAAGGCAAAAAAAGCTGTTTCAAAGCCTAGTAGGTGTCTATAAAAGAAAAATAAATATGCATGGCTGTATTAAAATTGCTGACAAGGACACGCGTGAAAAACGCAGTGCGCATGCGTGCCTTCCCTGCTTCCGGCGCGAATTTGCCAGTGCCTCCCCCATCGAAATTATACGCGATACCAAAACAAACTAGATTCCGGCCGCGAAATTCAAAAAAGTAAGCTCCACACACAAGATAAGCTTAGAATTTCACGAACACAAAGTTTATTAATTGCTTTAGTTTCTCTCTTTTGCACCGCATACTTTCCTCCTTGCAACAAAGGCGAAAATTATGTTTGAAAGTCCACGCTCGCTCTGGCAGCACTTCGCCGTAGCCATTGTTGCTGTTTTGGTCATCATGTCGCTGAGCTCGGTCAATGCGAACAACGAAAACGACCAATGCATGCTAAGTGGAAAAACAAGGACGGAAAAACCTTGTACTGGACGACTTTACCAGCTGTCTGAAGCTCTCAGCCGTGTTGTTGGTTTGCCGGTAAACTCCCATGTTTGCCGGCGACATTGGGATGAGTTGCGAAGAAAGGACGTGCGCTGCTCCTGTCCAACACACGACAGGAAAACCCCTTCTCGCCTGGATTCAAAGCCAATTCCTCGCAGATTTTACCCAATATTTGACGAGATTGGCTCTCGAACGACAACATATCGCCCGGGCACACGGTGGTTATCACTGCAAAGCACGAGGTAATAAACAGTTCTCGAGTCATCCTGAGTTTACTGTCAAACCACGAAAAAAGCCAGTCGAGGTAAGTTAGTTTAAGTAATTTTTTGTTGTGCTTAATACTAGAACCGGCTGCAAACCATTAAACATATCAAACATTCCTAAGCGTTTTTCAATTTAAATGGGGAAGATTTTGCAAATTTGAATTATTGAAAATAGAGACCTTGCGCATGCGCAGACGTTTTGCACGCGTGTCGCTGACAACAGCTACGAAAATTTCGTGACAGCATGCTCACGTGACTAAGGCGTGTGACCAATTTCCGGTTACACCCCAAAGGTCATACGATCTTGTGCGATGGTTATTATCAGCCGGCGAACGATTGAAGTGATGAAAGGTTTTCAAAATCGAAGTCATTTGTTTGCGATGAATTTTTTATTCCTTTTGCAGGGGCGGATCCAGGATTTTTTTTACGAGGGGGTGCACTCGTCTCTTGCTCTGCTTCAACACCAATAAACCACATAGTTTTTTTTTTTGCAGAATACCAGTTGTATTAGAAAACCGCAGGTCATCTCAGGGAGGGGGGGTGCGCACCCCCTGCACCCTCCCCCTAGATCCGCCCCTGTTTTGCCTCCTGACTGAAGTAAAAAGTCTTGTAACTCTTGCTTCGACGTGTTGCGACTTTATTTCGATTCGCGGCCGGATTCGGACGCAGTTGCTGAGCAAACGTACGTTTGTTTTTTGGCTAAAAATTATATATTTTGTGACTCAAAACGACGCAACAGAAGTTGGAAATAACTTTGCTTGCCGTAAAAACGTGTTACAACAGGAGCCCATAACCCGGAGCGTCTAACTTCCATACTGCGCCTATGCAACGGCGTTTTCACAAGTAGGTTTATTTTTAGATAAGCCTTTCCCACGAATTGCTTTCGAAAAGCCAATCACAAGCAACTGAGTCATCAATAATAAACTTTTAATACGTAATCAGGACAACTCCTTCACACTGAAAAAAAGCATCGCGGACGCATGTGAGGAATCTTCAGAGGATTCTTCTGACAGTACTTCAAGTGAAGATTTCAGGATTTACACGAAAACTAGCAGTTCAGAGGAAGATCTGCAAAACGTAGAAGGGCCCGGGACGTCTACTTCATCGGCGAAGTAGACGTCATTCATCGAATTCACGCAAAGGGAAATCGAAATCATCTTCGAAAAAGCCGACTGTGAAAAGGTCCAAGCGACAACAGTCGTTTTTTTGCGGGAAAAGCTTATCTAAAAATAAACTCACTTGTAAAAACGCCGTTGCACGAATTTATGGCAGTTGCACGCTCCGGGTTATGGGCTCCTGGTTACAAGCAATGGTGAGTAATTTTTTCATGTAAAACCTTTCTTTTAGTTTGACAACCGTCCGCAAGCCGTCTAATTTGCATAAATTTCCCAATTCAATTGCTCTCACCGCTTGTGTCAGGATGGTATTTCATTTCCAGAGCTAAAACTTTCCAGTAAGTTAGTACAAAAGCTAAGGTTCCATTTTATATTTATTTTATGATCAAGCGGCATATACCAGAGGCCTTTTTTAATAGTCGAAGTTGGCCTTCAGTTTCTAGCACGTCTAACGTCACAAATATGACCTCTTTGCACTTGTCGATTATAGAAATATAAAGCATTGTTTATCAAATTTTCTTTTAAGGTTTTCAAGAGTAAGAACAAAATAATAATTCGGTGAAGTTTCAATGTCAGGGAATGTTTCTTACGCGTTCACCCTTCTCTCGAAGTTGCCATTGCATCCTGCCGTGCATGTTTTGTGCGAAAAACGAGCATAAAATCGATTTCTCAAACTTTTTCTAATTTCTCCTTTAAAATGAATCGTTTGAACCCAAAACTATTTTCCCTTAAATTAGGTCACTAAAAGGGATGTTTTGGCAAAATAAAAAAAAATTCGATTTTTTGACGAGTGTCTTGCGATTCGCGATTTTCTCAGATAATGGCTCTTAAGATCTGAGGATCGTGACGGCAGCGAAAACGTCGCTTAAAAAGTGAACTTGCGTTCTTTCAATCTTTATCGCGACTATTCATACCCTACCCACTTACTTTGTCAACTGTAGGTGAACCCCCCAGGAGTTAAATTCCTAAGAAAAATGTCCAAGTTCAACTGGAGAAATGAAACTTCGTCGTCGCTTGTTTACGTCCTCCATGAAACTTTAAATTAGGCATTTTCAGGCCGAAGTCGTGCAAAAACGGCAACGAAATGTACAAAGAAGCGTGATGCACGTGCGAAGTTGCAGCTGTTTTGCGTATTAAACCTATTGCTTTTTTTAACGTTCTCGTCACCGATCTTTAGAGAGTTTAAGCTTCACGTATACGCCAAACGGCAAACGTCAGGTTCAAGTTGAGAATTCATCTCAAAATAGAAAATGAGCAGAGAAAAACAGCTCAGAAAATTCTTATGGATAAAAAATTGCATGAAACTACTAAATTTATGTGCAGAAATAATGAACAGTGGGCGACAAGCAAAGGAGAAACTTGGTCACGTGGTACAAACTCGCGTTTGCCGTTCGACGTAAACGTGATGGTTTAACTCTCTTTTTAGTCTCTAGTAACAACGACGACAACGGCAGAGAAAAACACACAAAGATGAATGCTCTTTCATATTTTATCAGGGTTATTTCAAATCACACAATTTTTTTTTATAGTAGATGAGTTTCTGCAGCTGATCTTTAGGGTCAACCTCGAGTCAGATAGAGAAAGAAACGTCCCATGCAAACCGTCGAATTAGAGAATTTCTCGTTGTAGTCTTGCATTGATTGCAAGAAAATGTACACAAAGAAAAGAAATGTGGCACTTGCGGAGTTGTTTTGCTTTTTTGACATTCGTCGCCGTCGTGGTCGCTAAAGCTCTCTTATGACTACTTGAAGCTCTTACAAGGTACGCCACACAACCGTCAATATAACATAACATTTTTGAAAATTTTAACTGGCGTTGGTCAATCCAGTTGGATATTTGCAAGTGTGGTCGAGTGGATTTGAACTCGGGCAATCAAGAATCCAATCAGCGAAAGGGGGAGGCTTGAGTCAGGGACATCACTAGTTTTGCATTCCACTTAAAATTCCTCCATTTGAGACAAACACAAGGTATTTGTAAGGAAAATACGACCTTAGTTAAATAATTGTTCTCGTCATACTCGTCCACGTAATCTTGCCAAAAAGTCAGATAATTTGTAACCTCTTTAGCTTACATTAATGGAAATTTAAACGAAGAAAGGGTGGTTAAAAAACTGTAGGTATAGTTGTAAAACCCTAGAATTATATTGGAATCAAAGAAAAAGTATAATACTGTAATTTTATTAGTTTTAATTAAAATTTCTTTACACTTTCTCTCACTCAATACATCGTTGCGAATCAGTCAATTCCTCAGGTGCAGTTACGTGTCAAAGTGAATGGTAAAGGCCGTCTTTTTAGAGCTATTTCTTTAATCTCAGATAAACATAACGTCCTTAGTAGGATGTCCATATACCTCGCGATACCTCTAATTCTATGTCAAAGGTTGAAAAACAAAGTTCCAATTGCTTATCAGGCTTATTACAAGTTGGTTTTAGGCCTGACTCTGTTCAGGAAAAAAAGCAAGAAATAATGTACGTCACACACACGATAACAAACACGCCACCAAACAAGATATAATACGAATTAATGACCCAGAAAGCAAATAGATACAGCGTTTTGTGGCAGAAATACGGGCTCTTAGGATCGGTGTAGTTAGGTTCGTAATTTTTATAAATCCATACGTTGCCAGCAATGAACCAAGCAAACAGAAGCAGTAAGACGAGTGAACGCAACTGTTTGATTACTTGCCAGTACGGGCTCACAGGCTGCGGGGGAATCGTTACAACTCTGTCTTCTCTGTCTTCTCTGTATTCGACTGCGCATGCGCAGGAAGTGCTCAATAGACCAATTGACCCAGCCACTATTAAGTAAATTGGGATCATGTTTTCCACAGGACACTCGTCCTTGTATTTTGCACCTGAAAAAAGAACACGATCATTAGTAACACTGCCGGAGGATTTTCGGGATTTTACTGCTGTTAGATCAAAAGTAGCCAGCCGTCACTTAAAGTGTCAATTAATAATTTACCTGTACTGTACCTTGGAAATCAGTGGAGTCAGGAAGTCCCCTAAACGTCGGGTTCTATCATTAATGTTTTCTTGTATGTGTATTTCTAAATCGTAACGGTTAATAGTAATAATGGTTTAATGGTAATTCCACGAAGTGGCACTTACATTACCATGTTCACTGCTGTTAGGGACCAGTCATAATTTAAGTTGGAGGGGGGGGGGGGGGGGGGAGGGTGGAGGAGAAATTGGGGGCCTTCAATTTTTTTGGATGGAACATGGGGGGCCTTAAAATGCCAAAAGATGACCTTGGGGGGTCTTCAAGTTTCTTTTAAGTAGCATCCCTACTGAGCAGCATGATGTTTGAGTATTAAAGGACCTGATTTTGATTCAGTTTTACACAAAGTCCTATATTGTGTAATACTAAAACAATTTAATCAGCATGCTCAAATAGTAGGTGCATCAACACAACATCCATTATTGTGTAACACTGAAACAATTTCATCGCCATTTTAACAAATGATTACATGAATAAAGTCATGTTATGCAATCTCACTATCCGAATCATTATTTGTAGATGAGGTTGATGCGGACTCACTGTCTGTGTCACCGTCAAGTTTTTCGCTATTAGAGCATGTACTGCTCATATAAAAAGCAGTAAGCTTTGGCTGATTATCTTCTTTCTTCCTTGAAGCGGTCCTGTCGGCCTCTCACCTTTCGATGGCTTGTCTTATCTCAATTATAACACAATCACTGATATATCCTTGCTTTATAAGCTGTTTGAGAGGCTCTAGGTGAAATCTCTTTCTCAGTTTAGTGTGAAGTGCTTCTCTGTTGTTAGTTGGCACATTCGGAAGTGACAGTGAGTAAGAACGGTAAAGTAAAGAAAATGTTATTTGTTATTACCATTTGGGTATTATGTATAAGAAAGGGGGGCCCTTAAATCTTTTAACATGATTGAAGGGGGTACCTAAAAAACATGGGTGCTATTAGTGGGGGTCTGCCAAAAAATTTGGAGTAAAAAACAATTTCTCCTCCACTCCCCCCTCCAACTTAAATTATGACTGGTCCCTTATAGAGGTGTCCGGAAAGTTTATTATATCCTTATTATAAACCACCTCGTCCGTTCGGTCATTACAGGGAAACCTCAGACCGAGGCCTTGATGTATTGACCGAGGAATCAATCCAGGGCTGTTCATAAACTTACCCATAACTATCATGGCTATCTGAAGTGGAAACGTCAGGACAGATGAAATCAAAACTGTAAAAAGAAAAATGCCACTTCATTAACAACAGATTGAAAGGCCTTTGCATTAGGGTTCTTTACGTCGCTTTCTAACATTATTTCGTCAGACTTAAAAACTTGTTCTTACATACTGAACGTTTCCGGCCGAAGCCGTGGAAAAAAGCATTCTGTCTCTGCTAAACCTCACACCGATTAAGAAGAAGAGTTTAAACGAAAAAAAGACTTACGTAGAAACGCCAAAATCCACATGCAAGACTCTGCTTGGGCTCCGACCGATCCCATCTCTGCTGATTTGTTTAATTTGGATATACAGTTTTCTCTTGGTATACCTGCGACAAATCGGAAAAAAGCCTTTAAGAAATACATGGTCAACGGCTGCCAAGTTAACGATAGAGTCGGATTAACCGCCATGAAAGTTGCACTTGCAGTAGAATGGACGAGGAATTCACGTGCTCCTTGCTTGCAGGATGACAATAATTTCGAGTTTATTCTATAGCGGCATGATTTAGTCGGTAATGAATCACGAACAGGAAACCCGGAGCTCCTATTCAAACTGAGCAGTTAATTCTTTGCATTGAAAAAGAGACGATCTTCAAAAGTCAACAGCATCACCAAAAAGCTTTAAAAAGATGATTTAATAACGCGGCAAATAAATGGATTGAAAAACGATTTCAATCGAAGGCTTACCTCTGTGTCAGTGTCACTAAATGACAAAATGAGTCTATTCCTATGTCATTGGTCAAACTCGATCAGTGGTGTTTTGATCAGGGATTCGCTTTGTTATTTGTCTTTGGTGTGCCAGATTTCGCTTTAAACTTGTTTGTTTGCTCCTAACTAACACGGAAGTAACTCTAAAAACATTATTTTGTTTAGTCATTCACGTCATGTGCGGTTAGCCGCAATGTCCACGTCAGTGATGGAAGTAATTTTACTTAATCAGGAATCATTCCAGAAGGAAAACGCAAGCGGGGACGAGTCAAGAACACCTGGCGACGGACTGTGGAAAGGGAGCTCAAGACCCTACAGCACACCTGGGGAAACATTCAGAAGCTGGCCCAGAACAGACAGGAGCAATCAATGAAGTCGGAGAACTCAATTTTTACTATAAAGAAAAGTCAGTCAGGTTTAATATCAGTGGTATCCTACGTGTAGCCGCTTCCTCCCCCACAACAAAGCAAAAACGGTTGGGGGGGTTGAGGAAACACGTAGGCTATATCAAGGGTTGCCTCAACATCGCAGTATATTGTTGTTTTCTGTTGAGTTCTTCGATTATTTTAAGCCACAGTGTAAGCTAAAGAGTAAAATGTGTTTATCATTACTTTTTAATATCCATATGTCCGCTAACTCTGTTCAAATGGTTTAGAGTTCACGGCATAAATCTCTTTAAATTTTAACCAAAATATTGACTCGAAAACGATCTATTTGTGCTTAGTCACACGTGCATTATAAAGATATCCGCGTCGACATTTCTGTAACATTAAATTGACAACCACAACGCTTCACCCAGCGCACAAATAAACCTTTAGTTATTAATTAGAAAAGAGATCAGATCAGCTGCCGGTTTTCGTGGGAAAATAATAAAAACCCTAAAAGATTACCACGTTTATTGCTCGTTACTTTGCTACGGTATATAGAGAGTTAATAACTACAGCCGCCATTCTTTTGCCTACTGTGCTTTAAGAACCCTCTGGCGCTAGCAGTAAGACCTTTAGTGTGTAGCGTGGTAGTGTGGACGCGAATCGATCGATGCGTTCAGTTTCGATGACAACGAAAATGCATAATTTCTAAAACGCATTAGTGTGGACAGGGCCTGGATGGTTTAACTTTTTTCCTCCCAGCAGGGCATTTCTTTTGAAATTGCAATACCCGTCACACACCCAATAACTAACACGACACCAAACAAGATATAACACGAATTAGTAGCTGAGTATCAGGCCTTCCTAAGGGGCTAGGGGAGAGGAGATTTTAGATGGGGGAGTGGGGAGGGGAGAAGAGAAAGGAAGTTTTTCTCCTTCAGCTCTCTCCCTTTTTTGCTTCCATCTTTCCCCTTTTCCCCAGAAACGCCTGATACTCAGGCTAACGAATTAGTAACCCAGAAAGCAAATAGATACAGCGTTTTGTGGCACAAATCCGAACTGCTGAGTTCAGTGTAGTTAGGCTCGTAGTTTTTATAAATATATACGTTTCCATCCCACACAAACGAGATAATGAAAGATGATACCATTTAGAACAAACATGATGCGAGTTAGAGCAAAAAATATTGCTATTCTTGAATAAATCGCTGAGAGCCAATAAGATTGAAAGGATCACCACTGATTTCAGAATGGAATAGAATATAAACAAGGTGGCAAGGCGGTTCGTGAAGAGTTTTACTTGAAGTCTGACTGGCTGACTTACTTACTTACTTGCTTATTTACTTACTTGCAGCAATGAAACACGGTCGTCCTGGAATATGGTTCCGATAAAAAGCGTTAACTTTGAATGAGTCACAACTGTGACTGAATAACAATGACCGAGCTTTAAAACTAAAATTATCGATGGCTACGTCAAGGTTGCATCTAACAGTGCATGTCTTGAATGACTAAGCAAAATATATTGATTTGTTACTTCCGCGTTAAGATTTTAAAAAAGTTATAAAGCGAACTGGCACGCCAAAGAAAACTAATGAAGCAAATCCCCAGAAACACGAGGCAAGCCAAGCACACGCAAAAAGGGAGTAGAGCAGAAATATTTCAATTCATCAAAGAACCATGTTGGTGAGATAAGCCTTAAATAGAAAACTCATTTCAATCCAAATCATCTTTTTGAAACTCCTTGCGCGTGTATTAGTTTAAAAGTTAGTTTAAATAAGAATTAGAGAATTCTAGTACTTGATTTTATATCAGCAAATCACTTTGTAGAATTATGAAAATCGAAATTTTATTACTGTAGGTGAATAGGTTCGAAACGCATTCACAGCAGTTTTGTTGAACATCAATCATACAGCCATAGTTTACCATTCATTAACAGTAAGCACGTGTCTTCTCAGCGTACCATTTTCAGTTTTTCGTTTTCAGTGAAATTCCTTTAACCCAAACCTACACGGGGTTTGTAAATTGGAAAGGTATCAACCCAAGAACGATGCATCACCTCAAAACGAGCGCCGTTTTTATCAAGTTCAATTGTCGTTATCGAAAAGTATCCTACTGAACGGATCACGCTTGAAAATTAACGAGATGTTATTGTTTTGGAGGTCCAGCCTGTTGACGGCCAAAAAACCCATAATTGCTCAATTTCTGGGAAATGGAATAACGTATTTAATAAAATCTGTTGAAGTGTAGAAAATGACTTTGTGGTTTGCATGTTAGCAAGCTTTTTATTATTTATTTGCACACATTGTTGCAAGCAATGTCTTTTAAGTAAGATTTTATGGTTTATGGTAGGGTTACAAAATTGAGCCCACTATACAATTAGCAGCAAAATTTCGCAACTTTCTTTGTTAATTATCAGCTTTTCTGACTTAAAACGTTCTTTCCAGCTGTGTCGATGGCTTTTCAGTCGCTGTAACTGGCCCATCTCTAGATTAAGAAAAAATAGTCTACTGATGTTATATTTATTCAATAGGTTGTTATCGACAAATGTATGGAAAGGTTGTTTGAAAGTTAAACAAAGCCTGAAAGGGCCTATTCGTTTATTTAAATTCGATTTTAGACCTCACTTTGGCTAGCACAAGCTACTCCCATGCCTATTAAACACATAATTCCTAACACGAAACCAAACAAGATATAATACGAATTAGTAACCCAGAAGGCAAATAGATACAGCGTTTTGTTGCAGAAATCTGGGCTACTGGGGTCGGTGTAGTTAGGTTCGTAGTTACTGTATATCCACACATTTCCAGCAATGAACCAAGCGAACAGAAAGAGTTGGATGAGACCGCTGAACGGGTTCACGGTTTGCTGATCATCTTCCTGACTTGTGTATCTTACTCCGCCGGCGCAACAAGTACTGAACAGACCAGCTGCTCCGGCCACTATTAAGTAAATTGGGATCATGTTTTCCGCAGGACAGTCATCCTTGTATTTTGCACCTAAGACAAAAGAAAAAATGTTCTTTATTTGATTGTCAATGTATTTAGTACGAAAATACTATTTGAGGAAACCATTCGTATATCTTGTACAAGAGATCGGACCGCCATCTCACGTGGCCATTCAACCTCCCCATGTAACAGAAATCGAATTCCGGAATCCGCGAAATTTTTGCTTGTGGAATCCTGAATCCTGAGCTTTGAAATCGGGAATACATCTCAAGGAATCCAGAATCCCACTAACGTTTGGAATCCAAAATTCAAGTTCTACTGACAAAGGCTAGAATCCAGTACATGCAGTCCCGAATGCACGGCGTGGAATCCAGAATCCACAATCTATAAATGGAAAAGATTCCCTCAGTTACGTGGGGCGAGTTCGAGCCACACGAGTGTTTGAAAGACAAAGGCAGTACCTTTATATTTCAGTTCTTTTAACATTGTCACTTCTGTTATTACTCAGTAGGAAATGATTGTCAAGTTCATGAATGTAATGATTCAGGTTTTGCTAACCAATGCGGTAGTCAACATCATAGCCAGTAGAAAAGAATTTGATTGACAGAATAATAGTGAGCAATGATATTGGACTATTCTAAGGTGGAACTATTACAAATTAATTTACTGGAAAAACTTACCCATGACTATCATGGCTATCTGAAGAGGAAACGTTACGAGGCATAAAATCACAATGCAGATACCACTATAAAAGAAAACAAAGCAATTCATTAACGTAAAATTAGAAGACTGTGGCTGTAGGATTCATTATATCGTTTTTCTGAAATTACCGATAAGATACATCACGCATTAAACAGCGCCTTAAAACATGCTTTAAAGAACCCTACCGAAAAGATAGAAGAGAGAAAAAGTCATTTTCGGCTCAGGCTAGCGCTCGATAAAAAGACTAGGAAAAACAATGTTATAATATTCAAAGGATGAAATAAACCACATTATTAAAAACTCACGTGACGCCAAAAGAACCATCCAAGAAACCCCCATATCTGCTGATTAGTTTGATTTGGATATAGTATGCTGCAGCAAGCCAACGAGAATCTGGTTAACAACCTGCTAAGGAAATGATGTAAATGATTATTAAAAGCCGCCAAAACAGATTGATGATTTCGCATTTGCTGTACGGAATGATCGCGTGAAGTTTAACTGATTTATTCTCTCCTGCAGAAAAAATTCTCAATAAGGGAAGAACCTTGTATATGGGCCACCTCGCCCCGAATCCTTCGTAGCTCAGTGGTTAGAGCGTCCGATCTCAGTGTGCACGGAAGTTCACAGGTTCAATTCCTGTCAGTCACTTAGATTTTTTCTTTGTCCCGTGTTTGTGACATGCTGAACACATCATTTCTCTACAGCCATAATTTGGTAAAACTTCACTAACTAGAAAGCCGAACTCTTTTTCAAAGTGAACATATTTAATGACAGCAGCAGCAAATAAATAAATAATTAAATACAAGGAAAAAATAGGATTTTTATGGCAGTTGTTTTTGTATCCGTGGAGGCCTGGGACTTAAGTTATGCAATGTGGAGGGCGCAACCCGCTAAGCAGATGCGAAGAGGTACCAGAACTCTGTTCCACGTTTCACAGGGCTTTATTCGTCGCTGCCATTACGACTTATTTTACTTTAACAAACACTACTTTTACTCTCAATCAATATCTCACGACATATAATAGATAGAAAGTTAGTTAAAGGGGCTGTCTCACGGCAGTCCAGTTCATTTTGTTGTATTTTCCCAAAAACTCGACCTCAGTCGCTATGGAACTTAAAGTAAGCAAAGAAATTACATGTAAATGACAAAATCATAGATCCGAGACAAATAAATATGTCTCCTGAGCATTATTTTTGAAGTTGCAAGTAGCAGGGATCGACTTTGAAAAACTGTTAGGCTAAACAGTTTTCAAAAACCCTAATTTCAGTCCGTTTCATTCTTCTTCAGTTTTGCCCATCCGTGGTATCTGTTATTTCTGTTACGTTATTTTAACCTTCCTTTAAAGTTTTAAGCGGTTATTTTTATGTTTCTCTTAATTTAACAGGCATTTTGTAATTTCCTACTTGGCTGAATTTCGTGACACAGTTCCTTTAAGATGTTTACGGAAGATTATCGTACTAGGTGGGGTTCAAGAGGGCAACTTAGACCCGAATCCGGCTCAACTCTGAAATCTTTTCAGCAACAAAGCATGCTTTTCAGCATAATTTGGTCACATATACGTGCAACTTGTTCTCGTCACAACAAACAGTAATTTTCCAAGTAAGTGGCGGAAGTTTTGATATTCGAACTAATTCGTGTGCATCCGTACGCCTGAATGCCTTTTCATGCGACAAACTAAATTCATCAAGGCTAGTACAACATTATTTTCATGCTTTTAGACATCTGTAGAAGACGTTAATCACAAATTGTAGGCAAGTGACTCGGTTTCAGCTAGCGGCCGTGGTTTGTACCTACGCCTTGGAATTTAAGAGCCCGTGATGCTTTTCTTTGTTTTGTCCAGCCTGACGCTTACCAATATAAGTTGTTATGAACAGTTGAGACTGCCCTTGAAAGACTTGAAAAAATCCTAAAATTGCTGCATTACTTTATTGATAACGTTATGAAAACGTTTTCATATTCTTATCAAAATCGGTTACTAAAGAAACAAATTGAACTACACTGTTCAGTTCAAACAACATGACAGGGGCACCCAACGACCTAATGTTTCCAAATACGCCAGAAGAGTCTCAAATGATTTTCTCTGTGTTTTAGAAGCCTGTTTGGTTACTTTGGAGTTGCCCTAAAAACTGTTTATCTGTTCGGATGTCTTAGGGGGACTTTGGTCGTCACGAAAGGTTTAGGTGGCTTTTCCGTCTCATCCGAAAGTGTTAGTTACATTTAAGGGTCCGGTTGAAAGTACGAGGACATGAAGTATCCTTGCTTTCATTTAGAAAATTTTAGGGGATGTTTCGTCTGTACACCGAAAGTTTTAGGAGACCTTTTTTTTTTAACAACAATCGCAATATCTTGGTATTAAAATGCGACTAACACAACCTCCCAAAATCGTAGTTAAGCTGTAAGAAAATGTCCGAATATTTCAGACAAATGGAACGGTTATCCACAAAGTTTTAGCTTTTCACAAGCCTTAGAAATTTCTAGGCAATATTTGCTCCTTCGAACACTTATTTTACCGAAAAAAGTCGCTGAGTGCCCCTGACATGATTTGTACCTCATAATCACATACTATAAAACTGTAGAATTCTGTTCACTCTTTGCACATAGTGCTGACCATTAACGGCACCGACGAGAGAATTTTGCACTACCGTTTATCATTTGCTTAATATACAGTTTTTTGGTTCGTCAATAGTGTAGTGATGTTTCTCATGACCTCCATGAGACACGGCAATTTCCAATTATAGCAACTGTCAATACACTTCAAGGGAAAAAACATGGTAAAATAAAAGCTTCATAGTGAAATAAAGATCTTTCATCTATACTGTTAGACTCTAGCCTCTTAACATCGAAACAGACGCTTTACTATACTTACTCTTGACTAAGATCAGAAACAATTTCCTGGGACTCGCTTTTTTTTGCTTGGCGTGTCAGCTTTAGCCGCTTTATACGCGTTCGTTTGCTTCCAATGTGGAAGTCATGTGTCCAGACATGCAAGTCACCTACGGTCAAATATATAACAATTATTCACCGAAGTGGAGGTGGCTAGATAAAATTATCACTGCTGAAGCGTTGACGTAACGAAAGTAATTTTACTCATTTCAACAATCGCTTCAGACGTTAGCTAGCTCTAGGTGGCGTTGTCTCTTCTTTCATGTATTTGAGACCCTGACATACTCTTTACGTTACTTTTCTCAACCCGTGCTTGCCGATGTCAGTTGTTGTGAACAGTTGCAGATCATTAAAACAATATTGTACAGATCTTTTTCCAAATTTTTGAACCCTTGACAGAAACCATCTCAACCAGTTGAAAACCAATGTTTAACTGACTTTGTAGCCTTATTCATGAAGCTCCCATGACAAAGAAATCTTTTAAAAAGTCTCAGTAAGATCTTAAATTGCGGCATAATTTTCTTATAAAAACCAGGGGCGTATCCACACCGGTTTCCGCCACTTTTCGAAAATCGGTCAGATTTTCAAACAAGGAATATAATTGTACCTTACTCTTATTGGAAATGCCTTTACAAAGCTATAAAATAGTTCTCAGGAAGCGTACCATCCACCTCTCTCTACGACGGGACCAACTGTTATAATAAGTGCGAGAGTTGTCACGAAAAAACGACAACTTGAAAACAGACGGGTTCAAAACAATTGTTTCACTATTTTTCCATGGGAAAAATCTCCCCGTAACCCGCGTTCTAAATAAATGAGGCATTGGGAAAATTGACCGTGATGTCATGCATCCCAGATTTCATTATAACGAAATGGCAATCTTTTTGCAAACACCAAACATTTTTGCTCCTCGAGGGTCAACAGAATTGCAATCAAAACTGTTGCCTCTGCACGAAGCATCGGCAGCAGAATTAGGAAAGAAATGTAATTTTCTGTGAAGTCTAGCTATTATCGACAAAAAAAACACTGAATTGTTCAATTCGATGACAAAACTCTGAAACTTTGCCCCTACATTGACGTTAAATATTTTTCTGAAGACTAAATTTTTCTGATATAGGGCCATTTCATATGATCTTCGGGGGAAGGGAACCACTCGTTAAAAAGTACGAAAACGAGGAAAGTGACTCAGCGGTTTGTGTCAGCAAGCTTTAGTTATTTGTCACACATTGCTTCAATCAATGCCGTTTAAGTACATGTAGCATTGTATGATGTTGTTGGTAGAGGCACAAACTTTAACCTACAGAATGTATCATTTTTTATTTCTAATCAGTAATTTATTAAATCACACACAAAAAAAGAAAGAAAAAAAAACAACTAAGTGCATAGTGCGAAAAGAAAAAAAAAAATGTAATATACATCATCAGAATCAAAGCTCATCCGTGAAAAGCGGAGTAACATGCTTTCAGTTTTATTGACCAACTACTTGCG